TGAATTATCAATCCTGAGATGGTTGTTTCTGGACTTTACCACAATAATGAGTTTACCACAATAACATAATATAATAACATATTTACAATAATATATAATAATAATATAATGATATATTTACCACAATAATGTAAGTCAGGAGCTCCTGATGTATGAGATATGATTTCTGCAAAAACTTCTCAAAGGAGGAGATGACAACCATGAGGATGATGCTAGAGAAGAAATGACTAAAAGAGTCTAAAATATGCCCTAGCTTGCCAGGAGATTTGGCCTCGTGAACTGCACAGATAACATGGGTCAGGGGTAGCAACGGAATATTTGTTCAGCAGTCCATGACTTCTAGAAGTCTTGGTGAAGATGCTTCACCTCCTGGCAGGTAAACAGCTTCCACGGATTTAATTACTATCTTTACACTGCTGATTCTCAAATCTATCTTTCTTGCCCCATACATTCTGCTTGATCTGCAATCTCATATCTCCAGCCCAGGAGCCATCCTGAATTCCTCATTATCTCTCACCCCCATATACAATCTGATACCAAGGCCTGTTGATTTCACCTTCGAAATATCTCTTGAAAATACCCACTTCTCTGACACTGCCACCACGCTAGTACCAGCCTTCATCCCCTCATGCCTGGACTTTTACAATAGCTTGCTAGTGGGTCTGCCTACCTGGAATCTCACCCTACTCCAATCCATCCTCCATTCAGCCAGTAAAGTGATTTTCCTAAAATCCAAGTCTGATCTTGTCACCCTCCCCATTAAACTCCAGTGGCTCTCTCCAGTTTTCTCACGCCTTACTCCCAGACATCTACTCTTCTGTCCAGTGTTATTGGGCTGTGCCATGAACAAGACATTCTGTTGCTTAATATTTTCTCTGGCTGTCTCCCATGCTTTGAATGCTCTCCCTCAGTTCTGCCTACTGATTTCTCTGGCTTCTTTTAAGTCCAACTAAAATCCCATCTTTTACTGAAAGCTTTTCTTTATTCTAGTGCCTTCCCTCTGTTAATTAAATTATCCTGTATGTAGCTGTGGGTTAAATGGATCTTGGTTGCAGTTAGGAACATCGTGAGTCAAATGGATTATAGTTACAGTTAGGGACAAGAAACTCAAATCTACCTAGGTCAAGAATGATATTGTCAAGTTAACTCTGTATTGGTTAAACATTCACATTTCCTGCTACTTCAGCCATATCCTACATGTTTCAGGCTCCTTCACCAAACTGGTTCCCATCCCCCCATCCCCAGCAGTTTTAGTAGAAAATATATTAATAACTTAAGGACCAATCTTCTGTACAGAAATATTACTGTCCATCACAAGGTGCTATCGCTGGGGCTCTTATAAGTAAATCTAATAAAGCTTGGATTGATCACCCTAGCTTTGAGTGCCTTTCCTAGGAATTCCTGCATCATAAACAATGAAATCAGATACTTAGGTGTCCTAGTCTGCAACAACAGCTTGCTTTGTATATATCTCTTTGCATATTGTCTGCTCCATTAGAATGTAAGCTCCTTGAGGGCAGGGAAAATCTTTTGTCTCTTTTCCTATTCTCAGGGCTTAGCACTGGGCCTGGTACATAATAGACACTTAATAATGCTTATTGATTGATTGATGGGGAGAATGTAATAAAGTGATAGGTTACTGAATCATGTTTTAAATATTTGTCAGTTCTCACTTAAGAGTTTTTTTTAAGCATTTTTTTTATGGTGAAATAAATAAATAGTTGCTCTGTGCCTTATCTACTGCATACACTGAGTACACTTTCTAGAAGAGACACTTAATTGCTTTTTGGGAATAACAGCAGCATGAGCCATTCCTAAGCTTTCATATTGAGATTTCCCCAGTTCTACTCCACAGTGACAGAATACCAAGCCTGAGAATCTGAGATGAACCTGATCCTTTTGCTTTGGGGTCAGATTCCCCTAGGACGTAAACCCAGTCCATGCAAGCCCAGAGCTGGGCTCCTCCCTTCTTTAGTCTAAGGGTAAGCACTCAAGCCCTATGGGGCACATTCATTGACTTAATAGAGACGAAGGACTCCAGAGGTCATCTAACTCAATCTGATTCAGGAATCCCATCTACTAAAAATTCCCAACAGGAGGTCATTCAACTTTTACTTGAATATTTGCAGTGATAGAAAACCTCCTGTCAGCCTCATTCCACCTTTGGAAGGCCCTAATTGTTATGTTTTTCTTTCTTTGGATCCTCATTTTGCCCTCTGAAGTTAAGTCCAGTCCTTCTTCACCATGACATGACATGTGCTTAAAATATTTGAAGACACTGATCATGTCTCCTCCATGTCTTCTATCTAGATATTCCCGTTTTCTTCAACTAATATTCTATGACATGGTCTTCAATCCTTTTGGTATTTTGGTCACCCTTCTCTGGCTTTAGTGAAAGTTATCAGTGCTTCACTAACTGGATGGATCCCAGACTCGTGGCATAGCTGTGGTTATTCCCTTCACTGGTCCACATCTCAACCCATACTGATCTTCTCCTTCTGTGTGTTTCTTATCAATGACCCCAAGTAAATTATCCAGACAGAACCAACCTGGGAACCTGAGGCTTTCTGACAGGTCTTTTAATATTTCACAAGTTGTTGTCCTTGTTGTTGAGTCATTTCAATCATGTCCGACTCTACATGACCCATTTGGGGTTTTCTTGGCAAATTCACTGGAGTGGTTTGCCATTTCCTTCTCCAGCTCATTTTACAGATGAGGAAACTGAAGCAGACAGGGTTAAGTGACTTACCCAGGGTCATACAGTTGGGAAGTGACTGAGGCTGGATTTGAACTCAAGTCCTCTTGACTCCAGGTCCAATGCTTTGTGTTGGTACCATCGCTGAATTCATCCTATCCATATATTATTCATCACTTTTAATTCATAATAGGTCCAAATCCTTTTCTGATCATACAGATACCTTTTGATATCTTTTATTCTCCCTTTCTTCAAATTTATTTACATTTATTTAAATTAATTCCAACCACAAAATGTTCTAATCATTTAAATATTTATCAGGTGTTTTTGTATCTTCATTCTTGGTAACTTTTCTTTTTGTTTGGTTATAGTGTGTACCTTCTCTTGGTTTTGCTTTTTTTTTTTTGTGCTTTGTATAATTTCATAAAGTTATTTATAGATCTCTCTATTTTTGTCATACGTGTCTACTTTAACTGCATTTGTGGTATTTCATTATATTTGGGTGGGGGAAGCATCTAGACCTATGATTTCATGACTGTAGGGCAGAGGTGCCAAAAACCCCACCTACTGGTTGCAACACTTCTAAGTGTTTTCTGAATCAGATTAAAATGTAATTGGGAAATATTTAACAAAATAAATAATAACATCATATTTTGAAACTAACTCAATACGTGGTCTGCAGGGATCCATATGAACAGATTAGTGGCCCCATATCTATTTGAGTTGGACATCACTGGTGTATCGCAGTCTTATGGAATAAAACTCTCTCCACTGATGGAGACTAGCAATTCTTCTGCAAGGCAATAAGGTGGCTCAGATAGAGCTGTAGACCTGGAGTCAGGGAGAACATAATTGAAATCCTGCCTCATCTGTTTACTAGCTGTGTGACCCTAGGCAAGTCATATCACCTCTGTCTGCCTCAGTTTCCTTATCTGTAAAATGGGCATAATAATAGCACCTACCTCTTAGGGTTGTGAGGACAAAATGAGTTATTTGTGAAGCACAAGGTGCTTTGTAATGCTAGCTATTATTACTATGTGACTTACAGTTGAAGAGGGTTGCCTAGAGAACTGAGAAGTTAAATGACTTTGCCCATGGTTACGTAGCTAGACTTGAATCCTGGTTGTAGGGCAGACTTAGAGCTGGAAGAGACCCTAAGTCCTTTCCATTTTTACAGATGAGGAAACTAGGTTTGGAAAGGTTTTGTGTCAGAGGTGTGATTTGAACCCAAGCCTCCCAGACTTCAGGTCCAGTATGCTATGCTGCCTCTTATTCTATTCTATTCTGGATAGAGACTGGACTTATATTTTCACTGGTATAGGGAGCCCCCAGGTAAGGAAACTCTTTCCAACTAGAGCAGTGAGAGGTTAAGGATCACTCGGTCTTTATAAGTCAGAGGCAGGATTTGAATCCAGACCTTACTGGCTCAGGGTCTGCTTCTGTCCACTGTGCCCAATGGATTCACTTCCATTCTATACATTGCTGTTGTTCAGTTGCATCCAACTCTTTGGGACCCCATTTGGGGTTTTCTTGGCAAAGATACTAGAGCAGTTTGCCACTTCCTTTTCCAGCTCTTTTTACAGATGAGGAACCTGGGGCAAATGGGGTTAAGTGACTTGCCCAGGGTCACACAGCTAGTACGTGTCTGAGGCCAGATTTGAAATCAGGAAAATGAGTATTCCTGACTCTAGACCTGGCACTATATCTACTGTGCCACCTAGTTACCTCCATTCTACAAATGTATTACAATTAATTTAACCATTCCCTTACTCTTAGATATTTATATTGCTTCCAAGTTTTGGCAATTACAACAAATGCTGTTAGAAATATCTTTGAACAGATAGCTCTTCTTCAAAACAAAGCAAAACAATACTTTTGAGACATATTCCCAAAGTGAAATTATTGGGTCAATGGGCATGTTTATTTTTGTAACTTTTCTCTTCAGGTTTTAAAACTTTTTATTTGCATATTTAAAAAATTGTGCATTCCAATAATTAAAATCATTTGAACAAAAAAAATTGCATTCTGATTAATTGAATTTTACAGCTTGCTAGGACCTTGGTACAGCTTTGCATTTTATTGTTAACTAGATTTACTACAGTCTCACCTGGGTTCTTTTCACTAACATGCAAGCTTTTTGAAAAAAAAAATTTTAATGCCATCAGAACCCAAACCAGCCAGGATAGGCAGATGGAAAGAGGCAGCCGGCTTGGCCTTCATTCAATTCAGTGTCAGTAGTTCTTTATTCTTTTGATGTTGAAAGGGGCAGCACAGTCATTTAAACTTTATCCAATCTCTTTGCACCTTACAAAGTTAAACAGCTAAAAGAAGTAAGATTAAGAAAGCAATGCTTGTGGAATGTACCGTGCATATTGGCAGGGCAGATTTCATTACGATTCACCCGCTTGTCTATCCTGTTCAAATGTTTCTTTTGAAAGAAGTGGATTTTTGCCCTCCAACCCTCTAGCCTTCAATCCTTTCCTACTGTCCACCATGGCTCCAGGCCTATTCTACCCATCCATGTTTCTACCTCCAGGACTGGGAGGATTGACCCTGCCTGGTTTCCCAGCATTAGCAGGACTTCAGAATGCAGTGGGTTCCAGTGAGGACAAGGCTGCTGACAAAGCTGAGGGAGCTCCCTTTAAAGATGAAGACCACCTAGAAGGCAGTGATGCTGAGAAGAGCCTTGATAAGACTGCGGATTCCTCCCTTTTAGAAGATGAAATAGCACAGGGTGGAGAGTTAGACTCGCTTGATGGGGGGGGGGGGATGAAATAGAAAACAATGAGAATGATGAATAACCAGTACCAGTTACAGTTAAAGTGTTTTGAGACTTTTGACAAGTGGTAGTCCTACTGTTTACACTCACAGTTAATGTTCATACCTAGTTTTATAAGCTGTTCTGTAACACAGTGTAGCAAAAAAAAAAGTCTAAGTCGTGTTATACAGATGTGTCAAAAGGTATCTTGGTCATTAAGTATTGTGCAGTGCATTATTTATTATCCCTAGGAGGGATGAAATTTGAGAGGTGATCATGTCTTTTTAAAGAAACTTACATAATGCTCTGCTTTTTTTTTTCTTTTGGTACCATTGGTATTATAAAAGCAGCAATTTATAACAGTGGCTCTAATAGAAGGAAGTGCTGCTTAAAGGACGTATGAAGTTATATATTAAATTTTTTAATTTTAATTTTTTTTTTTTTTGCTGTGAAGGTCAAGATGAAAGTCACCATACATATCGTATTTGCTCATTATTTTTGACTGTACGGGAGTTCCCCCCTCCACGTACACACATACACATACACACACTCTGATAATCTCCAAGATAGTGTGAATGTCTCTGTCTTGAGACACAGCGATAATAAGGCAGCTGTTGAATGTGAAGAGTACCTTTTAGAAATTAACCCACTGAGAAGGTTCTTACAGGATAAAACTACAGTTCAATTATCTCATGATCTCGTAATGCACTGGTATAAACAAAAAAAAAAAAGAAAGAAAAAGAGAGAATCAGGTACCTTTTTTTAAAATTAAAGGACTTTGTTACTTTAGCCACAAAGCTAAACAGCATTACCTCAACTCTAAACTAGCCTTGAAGTTTACAGACATGACTTTGTAAATGTATTGTTTTTCCTTTGTTGTGATGTCCTTTTATTTTTACTTTGAAAACTGCTATCATGTAAGATAAGATGCAAATTGCTGCCAACTATAGTAATGATACTTTTAATAAAAGTGACCCATGATATGCAAAAAAAAAAAAAGAAGTGGATTTTTCTTTTGTGTTTCTGTTTTCTTCAATTTAGACTTATCAAATTTCTGAATCTCAGCCGTCTCTGGTTTGTCAGACATTTTTGCAGGTTAAGCAGCGATGCATGGGTCTTACCAGTAAGTCAGATCTTACTATCTTATTTTTGTAACTTTTGCAGAGTACTACCAGATTGTTTTGAAATAAGATTTCACTAGTTTGAAATTTCGCCAGCAATGAATACTCACAATCTGGTCAGCACTGCTGGCTACTTCACCAAAAAAAAAAAATTGTCTTACCAACCATAACTCCCTTCAGCAAATTAAAAAAGGAACAAATGTTAAAAATAAAGCCCTCAAGACATAGCTACATAGTCCAATAAAACAAATTTCCACATTAGCAATGCCCCAAAATGTATCTGTTTCTGCAATTTAATTTCATTACCTTTCTATCAAGAGTCGGGTGAGGTGTTGGTTCATTTTCATTTTTTTGGACTCATGCTTTATACCTGTGTTGATCAGTTCTGAAAGATCTCAAAGTTGTTTTTCTCCACAAATGGTATTATTTTATAAATTGTTCTAGTTCTGCTCACTTCACTTTGTTTCAATTTATGAAAGTGTTACAGTTTCCTCTGAAATTGTCAATTTCATAATAGAACAATAGAGTTCTATTACATTCATGTACCACAATTTGTTTACCTAAACCAAATAGTTTATGGTTTTTGTTATAAATGGTGTCGACCTGAAAGTTTGGTTAAAGAAGGCAAACAAGTTAGATGATACACGATTATATAGTTTATTCCCTTTTAGCTAGCGAATCATGTTAACATGGAAGCCAGAATGTGATTCTGACTCAGAGATCAAGCAAAATGAGAGAGGTTTTATACGGTTTAGAGTGATCAGACTTAGGATGTCTGTGTTACAAAAAGTACAGCCCCCATATGTTTGTTTAACATATAGCATGGGAAAGGAATTTTCTTAATTGAATAAGGTTGTAAATACAATAAAACAGAAGAATGTCAAAGTGTCAGTAGAAACTCAAGATAAGAAAAGTCCCATTATTCAAGAGAGTATCTGGTCCCAGACATCCTGGGCTTAGTTGATCAGTTCTATCTGTTCCTGGAATTTGCTGACACAGGAAGGGGGTGTTTTCTCAATTGATCTTAAATGATTATCATTTCCTCCTTTTGGTCAAAGGTAAGCAGAAGGCTTCACCTGTAGACCAAGGGAAAAAAGGAGATAGGCTGGCTGTCCAGCACAGTAGGAGGAGTCAGAGTTACCTTAAGTCGTGTTAATCTCTAGGATCTGAGAGGAGGGCAGACATACACAGATAGAACTTGATTCCTCTCTTGAAGTTGAGGATAGCCCACCAGGGCGGATCCAAATAGCATAATTACACTGAGTCGGATCAAGGTTCCCTACAGGGGTTCCGGAGGAGTGATTAGATAAATAGCAGAAAGTAGCAGGAAGGGCTGTGGAGGTCCAGGCTGCCCTAGAAAAGACAGGGCCCTGAGAGTTATCTAACTCTAAGTGGATTCGAGTTTTTTCCAACCGTTTCCTGAAGTAGGGGGCGCTGAGGAGACGGTCGAATTCCTTGTTAGACTGAGCCTGTTCCGCCCTGAGAATCACATACGGTTTTTCAGAACTTCTCTTTTCAGAGAATCTTAGGCCCTCAGTGGGGTGAGCCTGGGTGATCAACTCAATCGACCCCCAGTCAGAGGCAGAGATAGGTTGTACTGAGGTGCGTCCCAGAGGGTCTATGCACAACCAGCAATTGGACAGGTTAAATAACCTGACTGCCTCCTGACCCAGCTTCCGCATGGGATGAGTGGGAAGGTGAAAGAAGGGGTTGCTCTTCCCCTGTGATTGGACATCCCCAAAGACCGGCAGCCACTGCAAGACAATTGCAAATAAGCAAGAGGAACAGGCTGCGAGAGGAGTCAAAGTGGGGAGAGTGAGAGACATAATGGGAATAGAGAGATTAAGCAATCTAGGACTACTAAAATATGCGTAACCAGTCTTGGGTATGTAAGGGGTTCAGGCAGGGAGGGAGCTTTACTTCGTGCAGGCGTGGTCCGGACTCTTGGAAAAGCTGTCTACATCTGATGTCGTCTTTTTCAGGCCCCTTCGTAACCGGAGGGCAAGGTCTCCTATAGGTTCAGATGTCCACTCAGGAGTGGGCATCTTCAGATGATCCCAGAGTCCACATCCAGAAGTTCTCAGCTATGGGAGTAGTCACATAGACCTGATAGAGGCTCATAGAAGATGTATGAGTTGATAATTGAGAGAAAATAGCATAACATAAGTCTTTAGTTAAAGGCACATAGAGATGGTTCAGTTTCCCAGCCACACAGGGCTAGGTTCAAACAATACAACAAAGTTTTCTCATAATTCACAAAATCACATAATTACATTAAGTCAGGTACAGATTAGATTACTTAGAGGGTTCACAATAGACTAGTTTTGAGAAGAGAGATTTACATGTAACCAAGATAACCAAGAAAACTTAAACATGAATCATACAAAGCAATACAATCATTATTACCAATGTTAACTAACATTAAATTCCTTTCTCACGTACAATAGGTTTAATTCAGAGGCAGTTCAAAAAGGGAGTTCTTGTTTCTCTGGTTTAAATTTAGAAGTTCCCAGATAATTTTGACTTAGTATGAATTAGTATAGTCATTTAAATTTGGCTCTTCATTTTTGATATCATCTGCTGCTTCTGTTCTTAACTACATCCTGTACCTGGTGCAAGAATTGTTTAAAATGTGAAGATCCAACCATAAAATGAGCTCTCCTGCCTTTTAGGAATCAGCCTAATCCTGTTGTTTTTCTCAAAATTTGCTATCCTGTTTAATTAGACATCTATCACATTATATCTTTGTCTAAACATTTCCTCCTTAGGAGGATGATATTCTATATTATTATTACTTGGCCATAAATGTAAGTTAAAATTGTAAGCTATTCATACTTGCATCATATTATGAGAACTCAGAGATGTTCCAGAAGGACAAGGTCATATATCATATCAGAAGGAAAGAACTTCCTTAGCTCTATTTGATTCCAGGCATGAGTCATATCTGATAGCCAATCATGTAGTCACTGGATGTTAAAAGCAGGGCTTAGGATTAATTAGGTGGGGAATTTTCCTTTTCAGAAAGGAAATAGCACAATTGGGAAGTAGAGTCAGGAAGATCCTACCTAGGCTGTGTCCAAGGTCGTCCTCAAAACTCTTCCCAGGCACAGACATCCACCTTTATCAGTTCTCAGCCTGCAGCACATGCCATCCTACTATTGGCTTCATGACAACTCAGACAATTATCCTGGTAATCAAAGCTCAAAACAATAGTAAATTTCTGTCCCATAAAGTCACATATCCTAGATAATAAGAATTTAATCTCACATATGTAACAGTAAGAGACTGATCACAGAAAAATACTACTGCTCTCATAATTCCTTTAAACAATGGGAACATCTTTAGGTGAGTCTTCAGAAGTTTGTATAAATTTCTGCACATGTTCGAATTCCAGATTGATAATAATATTAGATTTCCCATTAAGTTAACACAAAAGAGCTCATAAATTACTACTCTTCACTAACATAACTGCACTGGAATCCTAATCCTTAAACAAAACAAAGAGGTTACTAACTTTAACCTCAGAAGTTGATGGATTTATGTCCTTGTTCACAAGCTTGTTTATTCTTCTCTAATTATACTCACTCTGAAAGAATGAGATATTTCAAGATTTGAATCTTATACATATAAGTTCAAACACTAATTTAACTCTTGCTTAGGCCATGAAGTGACTACAGATTCAGATCAAAACAAAGATCTCTTCTGCTTTACAGCTCATTACAATAATTTAGCAGTAAGTTATCTTGCAAATGAAAATTTTGTAGGCCTCAAAAAAAAAATCAAACAAGACATATCTTCTGAAAGTATTTCCCTTTTAAAAACATTTAAAAATTTATCCTGATGTTAAGAAGAATAATCACTAAAGAAGAACTATGAAGAACATTTGTTAGAAATTTTTAAAGTGACAGATATCTTTCCTTTCCACCTTAAAGTAAAAATAAACCTTAAAATTGGAATTCATTAAAACTAAGTTGATGTAAAATGTCCTTAAGTAACATAAATAACTTCCCCAAGAACTATAAGAAACTAAATTCCTAGTTGTTACAGAATTCCTAGATATCACAAAGTTCCTTAGTCAAAAAGATATTTGTAATGGAGAAAAAAAAATTCAGTTTTTATAATGCATAAAGAACATACCCATTTAAATTAGCCTTATCACAATAAAAAAAATATTATCAAGCCTTTAAAAATTTACTCAGTATTTTTTTTTCTTTCCTTTGTCTTTAAATATATCACTGGAAGTTAGGAAAAACTATTACATTCTGGAATCTCACAAAGATAGTGAATGTGGTAATCCATAAATCTCCAAATTAACATATCTCAAGGATTCTCATTTACTCAGGAATTTCACAACACAGGAAACTTTTACACAGATTTGATAAGAATTTTAGGTGAAACTTCCTCTTAAAAGCAAATAAAACTTGGAAGTTTATTCTAACCCATTCATTCTCCCCTATTATTATTATTTTGGGAGGGGTGACAATTCTTGATCTAACATCTCTGGATTATAAGAGAAATTGCTTTTTTTTCAACAGTATAGCTGATACAATTTGTTTACCAGATTACACCATATAAAAAATCTCAGAAATATAACTATACCATAAACAATTATCAGGCATTTAAAACTTGAAATGGAACCAATTAATTACCTGCTTACAACCAAATATACCTCATTAAATGTTAACAGTTTTCAAATTATCCAATTTTATCACATCCTTTTAAAAGACCAAACCATATGTACCATTTCTACCTCACAATGATCTCTCAAATTTTACAATCTAAGAAAGTTTTAGAAATACAATACAATTTAGAAACATACTAACAACACAAACAATAAACTTCAGATGACATCAGTTGCATTTCCAGATTATCACACATAGAAATTATTGATCTTATTACTCATGGTATTTAAAAACCACTTCAAAGTTATCAGGTATGGAACAATTACATTAAATTAGAGAGATAATAA